ATATTCAGAACTGATGAGTCTCAAATAGGACGAAACACCAGTCGGGGATTCCGCTATTGGTCACATATCAAATATAATATTTGTTCACAAACCATTTTTGTCTGTTATCAATTATTTACGTGAGAGTAAATAGTATTTTGAAAAAGTGATAAACGACGTAGAACCTAGCTCAAATGTTCGTGGACTATACCACATTAACACATTGAGATTGAATTAACAAAATGATCAGCGAATTGATTGAAATAGAGCATTTGCGATAATAATGAGAAATATCGAAAATTGAGAATATGGCTCGTAAAGACAGAATGACAAAGTATGTATATAGGAATACCGGAGTTCAAGGTCTAAAGTAAGGTAAATAATGAATGCATCTACTTCATCGTGAACAATTCTGAATCATATCACCCAATTCCTCCAACCACTAATCTCAGTTTTCGGGCATATCTCAATCGCGTAATATGCATCTATTAATATGGCTCGAACCACCAGTTATCGACTTTATGAACTGATGTCATATATTTGGTTTGGCCTTCCTAACTTTCTTCCAACCTAATTTTACGTCGGATAACATCACTTATCAAAGTAGGCGGAGGTTGTGCTACCTAAGGATTATATTAAAGTAGGCTATAAATTGTTGTGATGATCTGTGTTTGTCCATTTCTAATGAGATCTAACTTTCAGTTTGGTCGTTAAACACTTGATGCGACTATATTAATAAGGTACATCCAATTTCTAAAATCTCGTCACATTTTGTGGTTCATAACTAAATGTACTTCAACCATAGAGCAGAATAATTGACTGATTTGTAAGTAAACTATTGAAGTAACTAAGTTGAGTGTCTCAGCTAATTATACTAGTTTGATTAAACTTGACGAAAACCAACACAGTATTTTATCAAACTGTTTGAAATTATTTGGGTAGAGATAAGTTTGCATTTACTTTTTGGTAACTAAGAAAACATATCTCTATATAAAATTCAGTAACCATTAGTTGCCTAAAGTAAATTTTATGTTTTCTTATGTTTAGTTACGATATGTATCATGTCCACTGATTGAACAAAATAACCTCTGATTGTATAACTAAGGTAATTATGTTCAATTATCGAAAAGTTAGTATTTTCATTCCCTTAATTGGTCGGTTAATTTTCCAATTTCAACTGTTCTCTTTTAGTAATAAATAAAGCTTCTTAAAGATTTATTTGCCTTAGATCCCAAGATCTTTCTAATCAAAATCATCTTCACTTGCATTGCTATTTATTATGATATGGCGTGACCTTTGACTATTGACTAATGTTCAAAAGGATAAGGAGACCAGCCTATGTGTTCTCTGTACTTCTTGTAGATACTATGATATATTTTATAAATGTTACCTGTCTTATTTCCTTTAGTGATTATGTCCAACTTGCATAGTATATATTAAAGAAGTTTTTTAGGCTACACACAGTATGAGTTTATCCATCCACTGTTGATTTTGTATTTGGTTATGGATTTCATAAACACTTTTGGATGAAATTATATTTTGCAGTGTTTTATATAATCAGCAGGTATTCTTAATGCTTTTTTTGTATGATAAATACGCTAACATGAATCTTTACTGTTTTAAATGTCTCTGAATATCTTGCGATTCAACTAGTATATCTCTGTAGTATATCAGAAATATGTTAAACATTCTCTGGTTTTCTTCACTGCACCTGTCAGAATCAACCAATATTCATCTGAGTTCATTCATGGATTACTGAAAGCACAGTAAGTTTCGGTTTAACAAGCAAATCAAAACTAATCTGCTAAAATTTAATAGTTATTCTTATTTTAAAAAAATCTGTTTTTCTTTATAATTTACATGAATTATTAATTAATAAAATTAGTTTGTTGTAAAAGCACAATTTATATTTAATTGATTTGTTTTCTTTTGGCACTAACAACCTAAATGGTTTAGGATTTTTTTACCTTAATAATCAGATGTTCAATATATATATATATATATATATATATATATATATATATATATATATATATATATATATATATATATAAGCCTGAGGTCACCACTTATTACTTTTCTCACCCACTGCTTAAGTTCTAAGAAAATAATTCACTTGTTTAATTTAAGACCTATCACATGTATCGCATATGATAAAGTAGCCTGAAATAGTAAGTCATATTATTTAAATCTACTTAATCGTAATTCGTTTAGTCTTACAAAAGTATAGTTTTTGTCTTATATAAATTCATCATCTAGTTCATCTCATTTATTTCAAATGATGCTAAAATGTAGATTTTTTTATATTCTGAAAATAAAATAACTTTTTTGGATCTAGTGTCTGTATATGTTATTTTTGCTGCATGTTTTCTTTTTTACTTTCCAAACATCAGTTGTCCTTCATTCTAATTAAAAATTTTGAAAATAAATGATCTAAGATTAAATTATATTTTAATTGAGAAATATCTGCGAATCACTTTATTATTGCCGTAGGAGAAATAGATAGACCGAGAATCGGTCGTTACATTCCCTAACTTGGGTACTACACAGGCATTATTTGATGGTGGGACTTTTTCACTAAATAGTTGTTTTTATTGTTATAAATTATTGATGTTTGCGCCTTACACAAAACTTTGAATATCTTATTACATTCATAATTGTTAATTCCTCATTTTCTATTCTTCCCTGTCATTCTTATATTCTGTTTATTTATCGCTTCCTCCCAATTTTCTGTTTCTAGATATACGAAATGATATCATCAAACAGATCTTTACCAGGTTCCAGTTTTGCATAGATATTTATTAGTAGATACACATTGTATTCTGGCAAACATTTTTTTCTCACTGAATTCCCTGCAAATTATGTTTAATTTTGAATTCGATAGAATTTGGGTTTATACTATCCAGCTTCTATAATTAAAGATGTGTTTTAAATATCTAATACTATGAATTGTAACAACTAATGTTTTATTTTCTTCGGAAGTTTTATTTTTCATTTTATGATTTATAGTAATAAGGTTAATCAATCATTTGAATGCCTTTGAAAAAATCATTGTCTCTTCGTGTATTGTTAAGTATTATCGAATTTAATGGATATGTTAGTGCTTTATTCGGGGTTATTATTCAATACAAATGTCTTATTTTGATAATAACTCGATGAAATACTTCTTGCTTATCTATGTTTTATATGGGAATCCTTTAAATCAGTGAATAGCTTGTCTTTAAGTAGTTTCAGTAGTCTCTGCAACATGTGATGTGGAAAATGGCATATATATATATATATATATATATATATATATATATATATAATTTTTTTAACCCCTCACCCATTGAGGATAATACGTTTACCATATTTATTATCTTTAATATAACATAATTCTAAATGCAACCTTAGTATTGTAAAATACAATCAATCTAATGAATTAATAAGACACTAGATAATAACCTGAAAATCTCCAAAGCTTACTCTAAACTTTAATCTGGGGAATATGAGGAATGTATTGAGTTTTAAATGATGTGTTTCTGTGATGTAAATCTTTATTCAGGTGTTTGTTGTGGTTAGTTTTAACGAGATAAGATTTTACTAACCCATATATGTATTAATTTCAGAAAGCGTCTGTTGTTAACTTTATTTAAATTATATTATTAATAATAATCGAAATAGATTAGAATTTTGTCAAAAATATGACTTTCTACATAATTATCGCTGTAGTAGCTCTACATATTCGATTATTTTTTATATTCTTTCTCATTGTTTACTCATTTTCAAGATTTGGCAGCTTAAAAATGTGACGAATCAATATTCACCAGTTATTTATGTTCGCCTAAATCTATATTTGACAATCGATAATGTTTTAATCCAATAAATTCATCTTCATGATTATAAACGCATTTTATGATCAACTATTCAGTTACGTTTAATCTATTTTATCTTGTTTATTGTATTCAGAAATAGAATAAAGAAATTTCGTCGATTATTTATTTTTACGTGAAAGTAATGCCTTATTTTAATGTGTGTTGATGTGATGATATGCCTCATTATCTGACATAATATGATACTGCAAAGTAACGAACATAGAAATATGCATGAAATGAAATGAATATGATGTTGAATAATAGGCAGTCAGATATGAAACAACAATACATGAGTATTTTTACTGGAACCAGTTTTAAGTTGTGTTACGTAATTTTTTGAATGGACTTTTTTTAGAACAAAAAGATCAACAGAAAGTAGAAAAGTTTTAACATTGAAGTATAGGTTTTAAGCTTTTTACATTTTATTTAAGATGACAGGAACTTAATTTAGTTCTGTATTAACCGTGTTCCAACAAAAATAATTCCAACTGAACATTTGTGTTACCTTTTTAAACTCAGTCTTTTCTTTTGGTTTCCTCTATCTCTTTTCACTAGTTATTATTACTAAGTACTCAAACTTGGATAATAGCATACTTCTATCTCGGTATCATTACATCTCATCCATATTGTGTACAGTTATTTCTTGGGACGTTTATCTATTTATTGTTGAATCTTGGGGTACATTCCATAAGACGACCAAATAAGTAAAATGATGTCCCGGATTCTTACATTTCACTTGTTAGACAGAGTTTTTAGGAAAAGAATATCCTTAAATGTTATTATCTGATGTGTTAGTTGGAATACTTTCTGTTGAAAATCCCTTAGCCCTCACCCTTAGCAGCATTATTCAAACTTATTTCTATACCATAACTTAGAAGTTCATCAACTATTTGGATTTTATTTTCTTAATTTGATTTTTACTAAAAACAACTTGTTAATTCCCGTAAATTGATTGTAAAGAGCTTTCATTTGTCTATCTTGTTTCAATACAACTTATTCGTCACTCTTTGATGATTGTCCTGAATTAACTTGTGTGCTTGTTATGCATTTTGTAAATTTTATTTTTGGAAGAACTTCAATTAGCAGTTACTATTTTTAGTGCTTGAATTATATTCAAAGTTATCACTTTATTTGCCTTTATTATTCTGTTTATTTACAAATTCCTAGCTGTTATGTCACGGTGTTTTACCTAAATGGATTAATCGATTAGCTCGTATTGTATCTGGATTACCATTTATTGAAACTTTTCTACCACCTCACTGGATTCGACCAAGTTTAATGTATGACTGTGAATTCGATGATTTAAGTAATGATGATGAGGAAGAAAGAACAATAGAAGATATCAATCAGAATGATCAAAATACACAGTTGGTTAATGGAAATACTAATAATAACAATAATAACCAGATTGCTTGTTACAAAAACGAAGATGAAGATCTCTCCATGACAAAGTCATTTACTGAGAAACCATGTTTTCAATTTGTTCATTCTACATCTACAAACAATGGTCATGTTCCGTATAGAACTACTAATAGTATAGTCGATAGTGATGAAACGTCTATTGACCATTCGGATAATCATCACCATGACTCGTCACTATTTCAACTAAGGATGGTTTAGTTTTAAGAATGAACAAAAAAATTTGCCTTTTTTCTTTACATTTTTCCGCTCAATTAATGTAAAAAAAGTGTTACTGTGTACAGATTGATAATATATCTTTACAAGTCTATCAAACGAACAGAAAGAATGATTACTTTTCATTATTTTTTGATTGATTTTACATGACAATATCTGTACATTCCAGTATGTATTGTTTTTCTATGAACTATGTATCTTTCATGTTCAACAAAAGCTGTAGTTCGTGTGCTGAAAAAATAATTCGTTACTTTGATCTTCATCAAGTATCTACGTTTTTTCTATGATAGTCTTTCAAAACTTGTATTGTTCACATTTGTTGTCTGATTAATTATTCCTTTACTGATGTGAATTTTTTTTATTATTATTTTCCACTTGAAAGTTCGAGACTCCACCATGTTATCAATTTCCTCTTCTCTTTGATAAATTAATTTGTTTTTTATCACTGATTGTACTGTTGATGAATCTTCCATTGTTTACAACCTTACCAGTATGTTATACATATATTCTTGTTTTTTTTCAATTCAAAATGAAGTATCTATTAGATTATTTAATGATTTGTCTAACCCATAAAATTTGTTTGATCTGGTTAGGGTTTTTCCGTGTTGATGGTAATATTCAGTTTTGATATTCTAATAGTCTTTGGTGAATATTATGAACAAAACTGTGAATTTAATTTTTCTTGCAAATACATCATATTTGTGCAGCTGTAGTGAGCTTCCTGACTTTCACTAGTATTGAAAACTAGTGGATTGTCATGTTTTGTATATCCTACTCATTATCAGGTGTTATTTCTATGCACTAACGAGCTTCTGAATATGAAATATCGTTTACATTGAAAACATTATACACTCATAATTGAGAGGCTTTTATGAAAATATTATTGTCATATACTTTGGTATGGCTAGTTTTATTACATAGTAAGTCAACCTATTCTGGAAAAAATTAACGTCTCCTAAAACTCATTGGGTTGATAATGTATGTGTGATGAAATCCGAAACGGTCTTTTTGTTACCCTTGTAAATTATTTGTGTATGAGTAAATAAATATTTAGTTCGATTCACGCTATTTTAAGAATATTTATCGAACCTAATATGAAGAAAGAACTAATAGCTTATTATCAGTGGAAAGAGGCGTTAAGCTAAATACAATTACCAGGAGTTCCCAACCGAATATGAAGTATTCCGGCTCACATTCTTGCAATTTCGATTAATTGTCACTGGTTGTCTGCCAATCGCAAAATCAGATGCGTCAGTTAGCTCGTTTTTATTGCCAAGTATCTTGAGCAAACACGGAACTACCAGTCCATTCGACTCTTATAGGTATCAAGGTGACTGAGAAAGCTCGAGTTCTGTTTCTAGAAATACCTCCCTACCAGGATTTGCCATGCGACTACCGTTAACGTATCCAGGGATGAAATCAAGAACTTGAAGTGCGTTATTAATCAAAATAAAAGTGTGCTCCGAGTGTATAAATTTAAATGGTATGCGCTAAATTATGAAGGATCCAAATGAAGTTATTTCGCCACTCGGAAGCGTTGTAATCGCCATAGGAATTTATTCTAGGCCCTCATCTAGTTGGTCCTCGTGAATTCCATTTATGGCTGGGGTAAGCCATGTAAATCTAGAGTGGCCTAATGTTTAACCAGCTGATAGTCACTAGTTGAGTGCTGACTGTCGTTTCAATGGTCGAGTGTTAGATAATCCTTAAACCAGCCATAGTGTTCGAGTTCTGGAATTCCGAAGATTTTATAAAGTAGTCGGCTTATCAAACTCCACCTGTAGCTCTTCTAGAGTTACTGCTGGTCCCAAGCCCGGGTAAAGGAGGAGGGTTGGGCATGGGGTTAGCGAACTCATCCCGTAGAAAACTAACTCACTAAATACGCTAACCAGAAAAAATAACTCAAACCATTCAAACTCTGCCCTGAGAGTTAGAAGATCTTCATTTAGAAGAAATACGACACCTCCTGGTGAAAGCCTAGTTCCTTCGGAAACCATGAGGCTGATGCTCCTTCTAACAACCATAGCAACAATTTTTATGGGTACATGGAACGTCCGGATAATGTGCGAGACCGGGAATACCAGTCAAATAGCAACGGAAATGAAGAGATACAACTTGGCAGTACTGGGAATCAGCGAAACCCAAGCTGAACAACAAATGCAGTATATGAGAGAGATGCTGCTATACTCCGGACGAAGAGGAAAATGCTCCACACACTCAGGGAGTTGCTCTAATGCTGTCCAAAGTAGCACGAAATGCACTTGAAGGATGCGAATCTCACTGATCTAAAATCATCAAAACATCATTAAAACAAAGGAGGCAATTACAATGAATGTTATCCAGTGTTATGAATCCACCAACGATAAAGATCAGTTCTGCGATAGACTGCAATCAATCATAGCGAAGTGTCCAAGAAAAAACCTCTCCATTCTGATGAGAGATCTAAACGCCCAAGTCGGAATAGACAACATTGGATATGAGGATATCATAGGACGACATGTACTGGGAGAGAGAAACGAAAACGGGAAACGATTTGCAAATCTGTGTGCATTCAACAAATTGGTCATAGGAGGAACAATATTTCCACACAAACGTATACACAAAGCTACATGGATCTCACCGGACCACACCACAGAGAACCAGATAGATCATATTTGCATCAATAAAAAGTTCCGAAGGACAATGAAAGATGTGAGAACCGGGAGAGGAGCGGACATAGCTTCAGATCACCACCTGGTTGTTGCTAATTTAAAGCTGAAGCTAAATAACAACTGGACAAACAGCGCTGCAAAGTTTCAATACAGCCTTCTTTCGAGATACCGAAAAACTCAATGAATTCAAGATAGCTCTCAACAACAGGTTCCAAGCCCTACAGGATCTATTTAAGGAATGAGAAACTACTGTGGAGGATAACTGGAAAGGTATCAAAGAAGCATTAACTTCAGCGTGTCAAGAGGTTCTGGGCCCCAAGAAGCATCATTACAAGGAATGGATCTCTATAGAAACACTGGACAGGATCAAAGAAAGGAAGAACAAGAAGACAGCGATTAACGAAAGTAGAAAATAAGCATAAAAAGTTTTGGGACATTGAGAAAAATACCCAAAGAAAGGAAGAACAAGAAGACAGCAATTAACAACAGCCGAACACGAGCAGCGAAAGTTTAAGCACAGGCTGAGTACATAGAAGCAAACAAGCAAGTGAAGAAGAGCATTAAGACCGACAAACAGAAATACGTGGAAGAACTAGCAACGACGGCGGAAAAAGCTGCAAGAGAAGGAAATATGAAACAGCTTTACGATACGACTAAGAAACTAGCAGGGAAATATGGTAAACCAGAGAGACCAGTCAAAGACAAAGAAGACGGGCCAATCACTGGGCAGAGTACTTCGAGGAACTCCTGAATAGGCCGGCTTCAATTAATCCACCGGACATCGAAGCAGCACACACAGATCTTCGTATAGATGTCAATCCACCAACGATGGACGAAATCAGAATGACCATCAGACAAATCAAGAGCGGGAAAGCAGCGGGACCCGACAGTATACCAGCTGAAGCACTGAAGTCAGACATCGAAGTAACTACAAACATGCTTCATCTTCTATTCAAGAAGCTTTGGGAGGAGAAACAAGTGCCGATGGACTGGAAGGAAGGACACCTCATCAAGATTTCAAAGAATGGAGATCTGAGCAAGTGTGAAAATTACAGAGGCATTACACTACTGCAGTACAAGGAAAAGTCTTTAACAGAGTGTTACTGAACAGAATGAAGGACACAGTAGACACTCAACTTCGAGATCAACAAGCTGGATTCCGTAAGGATCGGTCGTGCACAGACCAAATTGCGACACTACGGATCATCGTCGAACAATCAATTGAGTGGAACTCATCACTGTACATCAACTTCATTGATTATGAGAAGGCATTTGACAGTGTAGATAGGAGGACGTTATGGAAACTTCTTCGACACTACTGAGTTCCTGAGAAGATTGTCAACATTATCCGGAACTTATACGATGGACTACAGTGCAAAGTAGTGCATGGAGGACAGCTGACAGATGCATTCCAAGTGAGGACCGGAGTCAGACAAGGCTGTTTGCTCTCCGCCTTTCTCTTTCTTCTGGTGGTCGACTGGATTATGAAGACCTCGACATCTGAGGGAAAACACGGCATACAATGGACACTTCAGAACCAATTAAACGATTTGGACTTCGCGGATGACCTAGCCCTCCTATCGCATACACACGAACAAATGCAGATAAAGACAGCCAGAGTAGCAGCGGTCTCTGCATCAGTAGGCCTCAACATACACAAAGGGAAAATCAAAGTCCTCAAATACAACACGGAGAACAGCAATCCAATCACTCTTGATGGCGAAACTCTGGAAGATGTAGAATCCTTCACATACCTGGGAAGCATCATCGATGAACAAGGGGGTTCAGATGTAAACGTAAAGGTAAGCATTGACAAAGCAATGGTCGCGTTCCTTCAACTGAAGAACATATGGAACTCAAAACAACTGTCAACCAATATCAAAGTCTGAATCTTCAATACGAACGTCAAGGCAGTTCTACTGTACGGAGCTGAAACTTGGAGAACTACTAAAACCATCATCAAGAAGGTACAAGTATTTATAAATAGTTGTCTGCGCAAAATACTCAATATCCATTGACCAGATACCATTAGCAACAGCCTTTTGTAGGAGAGAACAAACCAGCTTCTAGCTGAAGAGGAGATTAGGAAAAGACGATGGAGTTGATGGATAGGACATACATTACGCAATCCGTTAAACTGCATCACGAGGCAAGCGCTAACTTGGAATCCTGAAGGGAAGCGGAAAAGAGGGAGGCCAAAGAACATATTACTTCAGGAAATAGAAGTGGATATGAAAAGGATGCTTAACAACTGGAAAGAGGTGGAAAGGGTTGCTCAGGACAGGGTTGGATGGAGAGTGCTGGTGGGCGGATCATGCACCCCCACGAGGAGTA